TGAAGATACCAGAAAAATATATTATTGAAAGATGGACAAAAAAAGAGTACAAAGGTCTTGGGGGAAAAGGCAATGGAAATATACCTTTAGCACAGAGCTCAATCCTGAGATTCAACATTTTGTCAAGGAAAAGTGCAGAAATAGCATCAAATGGATCGAAAAGCAATGAAACTTTCCAGTTTGCAGTGGAAGAGATGGACAAAATTGCTAAACAATTGGAATTAATGTGTTCAAATAAAGATGCTGAGCAGGAGATCAATGATTCAGATCCAAATGCAGAAGACAATTTGAACTCACATGAAAAAGGCAATCAACAATCTGAGGAAAATACAGAAGAAATATTGTTGGATCCAGATATTGCAAAATCCAAAGGCAGGCCAGCTCAAAGATATAAGACAATCAGGGAAGAAATACAGCAAAAAGAACTATATCATTGCAGTCATTGTCAGAGGACAGATCACACATTTCCAACGTGCCCTCTGAAACACGTTGAGTTTGACTTGCCAAGGAAGAAGAGAAGAAAGGTTAAAAATACAAGAGAACAGGTAACAAAAATTACAAATCCATATGAATTGAATTTTTTTAAAAAAGTAATAAAGAAAGATATTATTTGTTGCAGGATGGTGTAGAGCAGAAAAAGAAAGATGTTTCAAACAAAAGAAAAGATTTGCAACAAGATATATCACAGGAGAAGCATAATTCTGGGGCTGAATTAGAAGGCAAAAAGAAGAGAAATTCATCTTCATCAAAAAGGGGTGGCACAAAAGAATAGAAATGGAAATGACTGAAAATAGAGAGAGGTTTACTTGAATACAATGGAAATAGACATATTCCATAAGTTTCTGTAATATTCCAGAACATGTACTCTGGTGTCACACCCCAATCTGATACCGCCGTACAACGGCACCTGACAGGAGCGTGTCGTAGGGAAAACGGCGTGAACCGTTTCCTACGAAACCGCGATCTCGGTACCAGTCCCAGGACATAGTGCTGGTACCCACGGTGACAAATATGAATCATAGCAATCCTTAAAATAAATAGAGGACTTATTTACCTTAACTTAGGTTGCAGCTCAGAACAATCCGAGAATGCAACCGACGACACGGACGAGGAAACACCAACAACAGCAGCAGCAGCGGAACCAACGAACTAACACCCAACACCACAGGCGACGGCTGGGAACCAGGACGAAACCCTAATCTTCTCTTCACTTTATCTTCTCTTCAGGGCGGAGGAACTATATATATATATATTTATATAGAGCAAGGGTGAGTACTTTCGTACTCAGCAAGTCACGGGAACTTAGGTGTTTGATGCAAGCTTGGAGGAGAGGCAAGGTTGTTTTACAAATCTTTTATTTGAAGGCATTTTGAAATCACTAAGTGATTTATTTCTTTCTAAGTTTGGGCCGAAGAGAGACTTGCGTCTCGATTCGACTTTAAGAGATGCTTTTCAACAACTCAATTGGTAATGTACCGACCTCCCGGGTCAGATCATTACTTCTCGGCTCCCAGAGCCATTCCACTTGATTAATCGGCTCCCAGAGCCTTTTTCATTTTCTCGGACTCCCAGAGTCCAGCTGCCCAGCAGCACAACAATCCGCTTCCACTCGGGAAGCCTAGTCTATGATGCCCACAGACATCCCGAATCACACAGATTCGTTTCTGACCACTCAGGTCATCCATCTGCCACATAGGCTGATTCTGGTTACGATTCCCACACCACAACAACTTTTCACAAAGCACAGGCAAACAAATCTACGCAACGGGAACCACCTCACATCCGCCCATGACCATGGGCACGGCTGTTCGAACAGTTAGTTAACCTCTGCAGAGGGGTACACTTTACCCACAAGACACGAACTTACTCCAGACACTGGCCGGTGTCAGAGGTTCGCGACAAAGCCTTTCCCAAGCCGACCCAGGGATACCTCATGCCACATAGAAGGATCAAATCCTCACATAATCATAGGCCATTTTAGGCGTTCACAAATCAAACTCCAACCACCTCGATCGGTAATTCAGCAAGCTTCTCGTTCTTGCATTACCAGGAACCCGGTTTGGCTCCAACCGTCGACCCCGCCCCGGCGTTCCCAACTATTGGCATGCGAGGTTTCCCTGAACCGACTAGTTACTTAGCCAGGGTGTCCCATTCCACCTTGTGGTTGCACTTTGATTATGTTCGATGAGTTTCCCACAGGAATCGGTCCTTATATGCGAATACGGGACAGTGCCACATAGGCACAACCCCCGCATCGCGAGTTTTCACAATTCATTTTTATTTTCAAACACACCGACACCACATGTCGGGTTTTGAAGGCTTCACAAACCCATTTCCCAAGTTTTCGACAAACAACGGTGTATGTGGGATATTTGGTATACGCGCTCAGAGAGCACGAATACCGAGGTACCACAAGGGTGGAGCGACAAGGAAACAGGGTAGTACAACCTACGGAAATTAGTGCGATTACTGGGTAGGTCCGTCGGTTTGGCACGCAAACCGAGGCCAAGCAAGTTAAGTGTGTGATTCTAATAATGCAAGTTGCAAACAAAATAATAATGACTTTTCAATTATAGGGGCAATTGATCAAAGGGTGACTTGCCTTGCTCAAGGTCTTCACGAAGCTTCACGAATCTTCGAGAAAACCCGCGATCGACGAAAATCCGATAACCGCAACTATACGCAAACAACTGAAAACCTAAACAAAAGACCAAAAGAAAGACCCTATTTAGACTAATTAGTAGTGCCATTAAATAGATCTCAATTTTATGGGAATATTGGAAGTTGAACGGAGTCAATCAGAGTTGCGAATTGGGTGATATGAATTTTGGAAGTTTAATTGGAGTTTCTGGAATAGGAGAAATGGTTTATGGAATTTATAGAAATAATATTCTCAAAAATATTATTGATAGTCACTGTCACGCGGGACCAAAGGAAATGGTTTGTGGAATTTTGGGAATAAGGAATTGATTTATGGGACAAAGGAAGGAAAAAAAAAGGATTTATTAAATCCCTGAAAAAGAAAAGGGTGGAGGGATGTAATTTAGACTTCTTTGGGAGGCTCGGGTACGGCCCAAGGGATAAGCACGGCGCGGCCGAGCCATTGGGCCGGGCGCGGGCGCGAGGAGGCGGCCCAACAGAGGGGGCGCGGGGGAGAGAGAGACGGCCCGGTGGACCGATTCCACCGCGCGGGGTCCCGGGTGGGGCCCGCTTGTCGGTGGCACGGCCCACGGTGGGATGGGCGCACGCGAGGTGCGGCGCACGGGTTTCGGGTGCGCATGGCTTAGGAGCGGTGCACCGGTTGGACGGATGGCGGCGGGCCCACATGCAGCCGCACGGCTTTCCGTGGACCGCGCGCACGGGAGGGAAGACGGAGGGAGGGGACGGCTGACCGGCTTGGCCCGGTCAAAGCCGAGGTGGCGCCGACTTGGCGCCTACGTGGCAGCCACGCGGGCCGGCGGGAGGAGGAAGAAGGGGAGGCCGAGATGGACGGCGGACGGCGGCCGTGTTCACCGGAGCAAGCGCGACGGATTTGGTCTTCGGGGAGCACACCGGAGTGACGAGGGCGTCGAGAAGGAGCGAGCCAACGGCTCGGATTCGCCGGAGGGAGTTCGACGGTGGTGGAATTCGACAGTGGCGGCCGGTGGCGAGAGAAAGGGGAAATCACCGAGGGGCGACGAGGACTCAATTAAAGGCGGCGGAAGCATCTCCGGTGTTCAAGGAACTCATTTCCGGGGTCGGATGGGTCTGAGCGGCGCCGTGGAGGTCCGGCGACGAGAGGCGGCCTCCGGGGGTGGGCGGCAATGGCGGTGGGGCCACGCCGGGTGGCGGCGGTCCTTGGGGCGGCGTCTACGCGCGTTCGGCAGGGCTACCGAGCTACCACGCAAGCTAGCGGGGACGAGGGAGAGCGAGGAAGGGGAACGGGAGGAGGCACTACCGAGCCGGGCGGGCAGTGATGGGCGGTCGACGGCGCGGGGCGAGCTCTCCGGCCTTGGGCCGGGGAAGGGGAAGAAGAAGGGTGGCCGGAGTCCTCTTCGGCTCCTCGCGCACACGCCGGCTTCACCAGCACGCGCGACGGCGAAGGGAGGCGAGGTCGGCAGCTGCAAGGCGGCAACAAAGGCACGGCGGCGGTGGAAGAGAGATGCCGAGAGAGAATGAGATAGGGAGGCTCGGCCCGGGCTTTATAGATGGAAAAGAGGCGGTTTGGGAGGGGGAACCGACATTGGCGGTCAAGGAGAGCGAGCTGGCGGTCATCGACGCGTGCAGCCAAGGCGGCGACAGGTGATGACGCCGGCGGTGTCGGGCAAAAGGAAAAAGGTGGGGGAACAGGGAGCTCTGCTGGTGTTCACGGGCGGCAGCGGCGGTTTCGTGGGCAGTGCGAAGGCGGCGACGGTGTGGATGCGTTGGGCGGCGAAGGCGGTGGATCGAGCGTCGGAAAATCGAACCGCGGGAGCGGGAGGATTAGCGCGGGCTGGCGCGGTCAAGGTGGGGGTGGCGAGCCGGCGCTGGCGTCTGCGTCTCTGCCTCCGAGCGCTAGCGGCCAAGGAGTGGAGGCATGGCGTCGTTGCTTGGGAGGGAAAAAGAGAAGGGAGGACGGTGGAAAGGGGGGGCTTTACCATGCCGGTTTGGGAAAAAGGAGGTGGGAGAGGGAGAGGAGAGCGCGTGAGGCAGAGAGACGCGCTGCCTCCACGTCTTGGACGCACGCGCGCACAGGGTGGGGGCGAGCGGCAGGGCGGCATGGGCGGCCGTGCGGCGCAGGCGGCCAGGGCTGATGCGGCGGCGACCGGGCGGTCTGCCACGCGCGGGCGAGCGCGGGAAAGAGCGAAGGCGGTGGCGGTTTTTGGGCGGCGACGGCGGGAATCGGCGCCAGGAGGGGAGAGAGCAGAGAGAGAGCGAAGACGGGAGAGAGAAAGAATCGAGAGAGCGAGAGAGCTCTCTCTCGGCTCGCATGCGTGCAACGCACGTGCGAGGGGGGGTAAGATGATGGGCTGGGAGGGGAGATGGGCTGGGGGAGGGAAATCGGTCCATCCAAAAATACAGGGAGGTAAAGTAGACTTTTACAGAGAAAACTGATTTGGACAGAATTGGAGAGATTTTAGGGTTTGGACTCAAATTCAAATTTGATATTCGAACTCGAGGGTTTAGGGATGTATCAAGGGGGATTCAAGGAGAAGTCATGGAAAGGATTCAAAAGGAATACTTGGGTATTTGTTTTCGGGAACATAGGGTGGAGTCAAGGAAAGGATTCGAGGCGGGATCTGAATAGTTCTGGATTCGTAGAAGTATTTGGCGAGGATTTAGAGGAAGGATTTGAATTTCAGAACTTGATTTCAGAGACTCGAATCGGAAGAGAAATTTGAGGTGGAGGATTTTGATTTCGATGAGAGGGATCAACGGGATTTGAAATGAGATCTTGGCACGACTTAGACTCGCACACAAAGAACGAAAATTTTCGAAATTAGGATTTTGCTGAATTAGTTTTTTAACGCCTCACGAAAAGCGGAGCGTTACATCTGGTTTGTACTTAAATGTTTGTTTCTTATATCAACTACATTTTATGAACTACTTTGCATTTTATCTACCACATGAGTTTATGTACAGTTGTAGCCCTGCAAAAGTTGCCAACTGTCATATTTGAACAAACAAAATTTATTCCAGAATCAATTTCCCTACAAATAAAAAGAGATATAAAAATATAAGGACTAAATAAAAAACAAAATTGTGAAAAAAATAATGATTCTAAAAAAAATTTACCTGAGCAAAGTCAATCACTAGTTTCTTTGTTCCTGTACCGAGAACAGAATTGTCTGGATGGAAGAAAAGACGGTTGACATATTGAATCCTAATGTTTTGAATGTCTTTTTGAGAGAAATGGTTTGTCAGCTGAACTCTTGCACCCCATAGTTCCATGTATTTTAGAGTAAAAACTCCACAATCAAAACTAGGAAAAAGAAAAAGGACATAAGTAACCACAGTTACTTATCATAAAATATAAAAAAAACAAAAAAAATTAAAAAAAGCTAATGCAGTTATGGTCATACTATTTACTCTATAAATTTACTAATGAAATCTATTGCAGTTCTAGTCCATGTTGTACTAAGAAACAGGCTCTTATCCCATCTAGTAATTCTGAATGAAACAATTGACAAACAGGAACTAAATTTTTTGAATGATAATCATAACAAACAAACTAAAATTGTGCATTAACAGCAAAACAAACAGGTTATGCAACAATTAGAAAAACAAAACAGTCAAGAATTTCTGAATGACCAACAGAACATACAAGATTCCTGTCAACAAGAGAACAATTGGGCATCTGTACAATTATAACCAACAAAAACAAACAAATAAAAAATATTATTGGACTAAAAGTTACAGTAAAGAAAAACAACTTACAGATTATTTTGGCGAGATACTGGTGGATATACATTTTTGAAAGCATCAAAATTGATTTGATATTCTTCCATGATGGAATTCCAAGCAAGTGCAAAATTGGATGTCTACAAAACATAAAAAGAAAACTCTGTAATTATAAATTCCAAATCACAAATTGAACAGTAATACATATATTTAAAAATTTGAAAATAAACTGACCAATCTATTCTTAACTTCATCTTGATATTCAAAACCTTCTTCATGTAATGAGTCAAGAAAGACAAACATTTCATCTTTCAGATGAACAATGAAAACAAACCAGTGGCGCTTGTAGAAAATTGGAAAGAAGAGCTGAAATAATTAAATAAAACAAATTATAAATGTAAAAGGAAATATGAAATTAAATATGACAAGTAATTTACAAATTCACAAACCATTTCACATGATTGAATAGGTCTAGCTTTTGATGCACCATCAAAGCATTTCCTAACTGATGAGAAATCAGTTCTTGATGGATGCTTTAGAAGATCATCCTATAGCACAAGTGTATTCAATAATTTAAATATTAAACATATAGTAAAAATTGGTTTTCAATTATAAATATAATAAAACAAAAAATAAGAAACTTACTCCAATAGAAGAGAAGAAATAATGTTTTTTGGATTTTGAGGGGTGAGATAAATGAAACAAATATCGGCAGAACACAGAGACAACAAAATTAGAAACTTCATGTCCAAAATTAAATGATCCTCCAAAAGAACTGAATTTGCAGTGAACACCATCAATTTCAACTGCATGTCGTCTACATTCAGAATACAAATAAATTCAAATTACAAATCATACATTGAAAATGAAGATTATCAGAAAAAAAAAGTACAAAATAGTACTTACTCTTGATATCTGCTTGTTGATAGAGTGCAGACAGCATTATAAATTTGTCTTTCATATTGTGAGACTGTGAAGTTTGATCTTTGAGGAGTATAAGGATCTGTGCAATACTTTGTGGGATTGATTACCCTTCTAAGATCATGATGAATTGGTTTTGTTCCAGAAGTACTTGGATTGAAATTCTTCATGTTGCATAACAAAACTCTTTCTGGACTAGCAAAGGTTTTGAAGTTTTGTTTCTGAGAATCCAACAGAATTCTATTCATTTTATTGTACATCATGTTGGTTTTGTTTCCAATATCAGCACATTTCTTAGAGAATTTCTTTTCACCAATAAAAACATCAGGTGAATCCTGAAATTTAACAAATAAATTAAATAGTACAGTTAGAAGCATATTAAAAAAAGAAGATCAAAATAACTAGAAATAAAAAATAATAATTATTAGCTTATAACCAGAACAGAAAAATGATAAATAAAAGTAAGGTACAGGGCATGAAATATTTGAAATATCAATATGAAATAACAGTTCAGTAAATAAACTAATGATGTTCAACAGCAAACTTACAAACTTGAGATTATAAACTGAATAAAAAGAAATGAATAAGCAGTGAGAAGAAAAACCTTTTGGAATAAAAATTGAAAGAATGTATGTTATTAACTAGAACTGAAATACATTGTAACCTACAAGAATTACAGCAAAACTATGGAGAACAAGAATGCAAAAATGGAATAAGAAAAAATTTTAAACACCATTTAATTTCAAAAAGGGAACATCAATGAAAATAAACTACGAGATTATTCATACCTTTATGATGTGACAAACTTTTTCATTTTCTTTGTTTTCATTGAGAGAAGCATTAGGAGAAGTTGAATTTTCAAGTGTCACCATGTACATCTTATCCTAAAATTTCAAAATTTAACAAATGAAAGTTTAGTTTGTATATACAGAAGAAATAAAGAAAGAAATTAATGTCAGAATTACCGGACTGTCTGAACAGATTATTGGGCTTTCAACAGCAGCAGCAAAAGTTTGAGACAACTTTCTTGGAGTGATCTGCAAGATTTGTATAAATCAATATAATGTTCTAAAAAAGTATTCCTTATGAAATTTGAAGTTACTTCACAAGTACCTTATTTCTTAAAACAGGATTTGGGGAGTATGAATCAGGAATAACTTGATATGAATCTACAAGATGAGCAGGTGTAATTTCTTTTTTGAAATCATCATTTTCATGATGGAGGTCATCATCAGAATCCTAGATTTTAAAAGACGGTTGATCATGAAAAACTTGATTGTTTCGAGCTACAGCAATAACATAAGAATTAGAAACAAAAAATATGGCAACAAAAAGTAAGAGGACCATAGTACAGTGCACTAAAATCACATGACAAAAGAAATGAAATATTACAATAACTCAATTTTTTTGATGCTAGAACAATTAAAGATATACAAGTAAAAACAAATGAGATTCCGTTAAAAAAAATTTACCAGTCAAGGCAGAATTTTTCTCTGTTTCATCTGGTGGATTAATAGGAACATGACCTTCAATGTTAAATAGGCACAAACATCAATAATTCATATTTAATTTTTTAAAAAAACAGATTAACAAATTTAGAAAAAAAAATAACCTGTTTTGTTCATCTTTGTCATTATTTCATCAATGTTGATATGTTTAATCTGCACAGATAAAAAATGACAGTTAAAAACTATCAACAATTACAGTTCTATATATTCAGATTATAATGATTGAAATAAAAATGAAAAAAAAACCTCTTCTGAAGAATTCAAAATGGTAGACTTATTCACAGGATTAAATTCTTCATTTGGAATTGGCAACTTATCATCATCTAGTACTATTTTACTGTTTCCCTACAAAAAAATAAAAGGACAAAAAAATGCTTAATGATTCACATGACTATTAGAATAAAAAAAATTGAAATGAGAACAGAAACCAATGTACCTTTGGAGATGAGGTGAAATTGTTATTTTTTTGCACAGCTTGATTAACATCATCATTATTTTCTTCAACTGGTTCATGATCTGGTTCAATTCCTTAATTTAAAATTTATAAAAAAAATCAAGACATATGAATGGAAAAAAATTAAAAATAAAATAAACAACAAAATTCGTAAATTAAAAGTAATAACCTGAATTTTCATGTGCAGCAGGTTGAGTAGGATAATTGGAACTGCAATCAGCTAACAACAACAGAACATCTATAAGAAGTTTCTTAGCCTTGTCTTCAAAGATTTCATCTTCTTTTCCAAAATAATTGCAGAGCAAATGACAAATTTTGTCTTGAACATCACTTGGCAACAGATCACCAACAGAACTTTTGAGCATATCAGCAAATGAAGATGAGCTATTATTCACCTAAAAAATTAAAACAGAATTTTCAATTCCAATCTAAGAAAATTTATTAGAACTTGAAAAGATAAAAAATTTGAAAAAAAAACTGAACATTTACCATTTGGTAACAAGTTGAAGCGATATCATTGACTGGTCTTTTTCCATACACTCCTTCAGATATTTTATCAAATTTGGAATAGTCCTTAATCATAGATCTTTTCCAAACTTTAATTATTGGTGTATCAAGTAATACTTTTTGTGAACCAAAGTTGAGAAAATCCAGGTAATTAACCTATGAAACATTGAATATAGAAATTAAATGAATAGTCATTTAGTACAAAATATAAATTAGTATAAATGGAGGGAAAAAAATTTACCGCTAAATGGAATAAACAACCACCAAAAGTTTTCGATTTCTCAATCTTGCTAATGTGTTCCATCAACCAGTCAAAAACTAACTTGCACCAGTCCAAACTTTCAATTAAGTCCATGTCTTCAAAGGCACTTAGGTATTTTGTACTTGGAATCAAAGAAGAGTTTGGACAAAGGAAGCAATTCAAGGAAACAATCATAAAGCAGATGAGAATTTGATCATCGGGAAGTTCTTCATTTTTAATTAACTTTTCTCCAAAGAACTTGACAGAAGGAATAGAAGTTTTCCCAAAAATCTGAAGAATCTTTTGTTTGCCATAATCAAATTTTGAATGGATTGTACTACCACCAACAGGGAGGCCTAGCACAACATGGACAGATTGCTTGTTCAATGGAATAAGTTTTTGGCCCAAAACTATATCAGAACAGTTCACATCTACTTGTTTTGTAATCCAGAGAGCAAAAGAATTGGGAACAAAACACTTGTCAAATAGCAGCATGCTTTGAAAACAATAATTTTCAATGACTGTTTTGTGATGTGGACTTAAAGAATCAAGAACTTTTGAGAAATATTTGACTGAGAATCTAGAGAATGCATCAGACTTCAAATCAGTGTCAACATTTTTGTCCTGACAAAAAGAAAATAAAACAATTTAATCAATAAATAAAAACCAAACATACATAGATATAAAAGGGCATTGCAAAAAACTAACCTTCAAATTTTGATCACCTATGTTGTGATGAATATTAAGCTTTTTTTTTCAAACTGTTGATAATTTGATCCCTTTGTATGATATCACGTAGAACCTGATTTATCATTACATCATTGTCCAATTCAATAGATTCAGACCTTTTCATCTAAAAAAAATTCAAAATTAAAAACAAGAATGATGGAAAAATATAAAATGAAAAATAACAAACAAAATAATTACCTTAATGTTATCATCTTCACTTCTTTTAGACTTACTGAGTTTCCTTTTCAAAGTTTTCAGAAGTTCATTTGTAGAAATTTCATTTACATGTGGTTGTGAAACATCCATATCTTAAAAAAACATATTAAACAATTAAAACATTGCAAATGTGCTATGAAACATGGCTACAACAGAGCTACAACTGCATACTAATGAAAAAAAATAATGAAAGAATAATGGATACTATTCTGACCTTGGAACAACATGACAATTCAAGAACAAATAAAACAAGAAAATATTGGTCCTACTATTACATTGGCTACTAAGCAATGAGAATGTATAATTGCAAACTCTTTATGAATTTACAAATGGAAATGAAAAGAACAACTATATTACAAATCAATGAAATTGAAATGTAAAATAAACTTACATGACTGGCTGAGTTATCATCAGAATCACAATTGTAATCATCATCTTTAGTAGGCAAAGACTCAGAATTAATATCATCAGATTCACTTATGGGCTGGCTACAATTATCCAATTTTGAACGCTTTTGGTGAACCATCTATTAAAAATAGCAATAAAAAATCAATAAAGTTTGGCAGACTATAAATTATAAAATAAGTGAAGGTATGCATTAAAAAAAATATATAATTCCTCAGAAATTGACCACTTTATTCAGGAAAAAAATGAACATTACTTAAACATGGCAAACGAAAGTACAATATATACGTTGGTTAGTACTTTCAACTTGTAAGTCAAATGTTATAGTATACCTCCATGTCCTCACAAATATATGCAAAGAGGTCCACACTATGATAAAAAGTCAAACAATCTCACAAACTTAAGCCCTGTACACCTGATTCACACTAGGGAACATAACCATTCCACAGTTGGTCTATGCAGAGGCACGCAATCCAATGAATCCAGTCTACTACAAACATTAGCAGTAGAACCGACACAAATGGCGTCTAAATCCCCAAAGGGGAAGACATGTTAGACCTAAGTACATAAACACGAGTCCAATAACAAAAATGGGGTTTGCACTAGAGTGTAATCCAGTCTAATACAAACATTATGAACAACCACAAAAAGACATCCAAATCCCACAAGGCTAACAAATTTGCATAGATCATAAAGTTCTCAATAAACTAGCGTAACAAAATCAATTAACCTGCCTGCCTGCCCTAACTTAACAGAAATTAAATTAAGGGGCTGTCTATATAGGAATCGAATGATCTATATAAGTTAAAACCTATATTGATCTACACTTCAGATCAATATCTCAGGCTTCATATTTCTAGCTTACATTTGAGTACACACAAAGAACTAGAAAACAAAATACAACGTGGATATAGTACTTATGTAGCAATAGTAATACAACACACAACTAAATCACACACATCATCATGATGCAAAGTTTCTGAATCTATACAACAGTTCTTTTGATGACCCATCTAATAATTAAAACAAAGGGAGAGAGAAAAAAAAAGCACAAGGAGTTATTATAAGGATGCACATATCAGAAGCAATGGAAAAAATGAAATCAAAAATAGAACATTGCATAGCACACAGGGAAAATAGAAACATAATCAATACATAAATCATAGCAATAATTCACTATCAGATCAACAGCTAACAATAATTCATCAGCTAGCAAGCTAAACAAATAGTTGAAGACTACAAATAAAGTACAAATAGTTAGAGATACAAAATAATGCAACACAAACTTTTATAAATCCAAACATGAGCAAACTTCTTCATAAACATCATTCAAAACAAATCACACGCATCTACTAAAATAGCAACTCGCAGATTCAACAAATCACAACCTAACATCCGGAGAACAAGGGAGCAACTATAGAATCAACTCAAATTCCCATGGGAAAAACTAGATCTAACTTTACACATCACAGATCACAGAGCACAATTCGTAAATCACATATCACATATCACAGATCACACATCACACATCACATAAACGAAACTTTCTAGAACATCGCATAGCACAAATTTATGAACAAATATATCATAGAAACCTAAAAAAAAATCACAAAAGCAAAATCGAACACGAATCATGGGGATTCAATGAAACAAACACCGAAACAAAAGGTGCTCAGATCTACGAAAACTAGAACGACTAGTACTACAGAATCAACGAAACACAACATGTAGCATGCTAAATAGGAGATGGAAATGAACAAAAAAGGAAAAAAAAACAAAAAGGAAAGCCACTGGAATAATCTTGCGCAATCGACGGCGCGACACCTCCGCAACAACAGCAGACGCCGAGTCGGCTCGCCGAAGAGCAGCCTCGTCGCCTCGCTAAATCGCTGCCACGTCGCCGGAGACGATGAGAACGAGACGACGAAATCGTCAACCTCTCCTTCTATAACTCTCTCTCTCTCTCCGTCGGCAAAAGGAGCACAACTAGCGGAGCAAAACAACAACGAATCGAGCAGCAAGCTAACAAATGAAGCTGGAGAAGAATCAAAACATACTCACCGGAGAAAAAGAGGAGAAGGAGCTCGAGGACAAGATAGAGAAGCCCACACCGCAAACTCCAGTGGAATCACCGCCGCGACGTAGCCTGCACGAATCCACGCCGCGGCGTAGCTTACGCCGCGTCGTCGCCTCCCGGAGTCGCCGACGAAATCTCCGCCGAAATCACCGGAAGAGACGACGAGGAAAAAGGCAAAAAGCAAAATGAATCTCTCACACTCTCTCTCTAGTCTGATTCAGACAATCTCTCCGGTGCGGATTTCAAAATTTAAATAGTGTATGTGGGTCCCACCATTAACACTCACAAAAAAATCTCTCTGTCGGCAACACAAAATGGGTCCCACAAAAATGTAAAAAAAAAAGAAGCCCATTTAGCCCACATATGGAAGCCCGAACTTACAATAATCAAAAGCCCACATAGTCTAGATAGCACGAATCTTAAACAAAATCCAAGGGACAAAAAAACGAATGATACAGCCCAACAAAAACATGCGACAGCCATATAGCCTTTCCCAAAAAAAATCCTCCTAATCACAATGCCGTCGCGGAGATGACAATGACAGGGACGATGAGCTCGAGGTCGATTTACCACCGGGAGCTCCTTGGCCCCATCCTGCCTTGATCCGTGCCATCGGCACTTGCTTCCAGCGAAGACGAGGTGGTGGTGGTGGCTCCGCTGCTCATGTGCCTGTACAAGGCGAGACGAAGTTGTAGACGACACTGGAGGGGGCAAAGCTGGCAGAGATGGAGAGGGCCAGAGGGAATACCTCCGCGACGGTCCTGGAGCTCGACAGCCCGCGCGGGTCCTCGATACGCGCCTGCTCACCAGCCATCGCCACCTACCGGTGGTGGTCCACGCCGTCGCCAGATCCACGGGGAGCGGCTCGGCTCAACGCCACCCTACTTGTCATCGGCCTTCTTCACCACCTCTGCGCCAAATCAACCGCTCGGATCGTCTCCTCGATAGCCTCCTTGCCGCTTCCGCCACCACCGCCTCACCGCTTCCGCCGCTCGCACCGCCTCCTCGTCCACTTTCGCAACCACCGCTACCTCACCTTGGCTCACCTCATCGTCAGCCCGCTCGTCGCCGGAGATCAGAGGCGGAGGCGATGACAGATGGTGGTGGCATGCCAAGCGACGGCGGGGACTCTGGCTCCTCCTTTTAACCAGCTGTCGTTCGATCCCCGCCACCTCCGCTGCCTCTATCGTGCATGCAGAGCTGGCCTCATCCATCGGTTCTTTCTCAGTGCAAATCAATGGTGGAAACTCGAAAGCACAAGCCACAACCATGGTGTATGAGAGAAGACGAGTGAACTTGGATTGAAAGCAGAGGTGGACGACGAGGCACTCACAGCTCACAGCTCCCGATTCCCAAAGGCTACCTGCTAACTTATGCGTGCCACTAACACCTAGCAAATATTCATTTTCACCCCTAATAGTATTTTTTATCCTATACTTCACTACATATAAAATATTTTCGAAAATACCCCTAGGTTAGTACTCACGTATTTATGTGCAGGACCTTCTAAGTTTTAACTTTTCAATACTGGTTTGGTCTGATGTACAAAGAGTAACCTTTTATATGACTCCATATTAAGACCGTGTTTAGTTCATACCTTTGGTTGAATTTAGAACGATGTTACGGAAAAATTAGAAATTTATATATAGAAAAGTTTAGATATAATGGAAAAGTTAGAAGTTTGAAGAAAAACTTTGGAACTAAACACGGCCTAAGTTGATGATAGGAGTCATTTACTTTAAAAATATGCATTCTATAAATTTCGTAATTTTCATGTAATTTGATAAATTTTGTAGATCCTATTAATCTAAAAGACATATCTTCCAAAGTATTTGTTAAACGCATACAGATACGCTTAAAGAAGTTATTTGTCTGTTAACAAATCTGTTTTTAAAGTTGAAAAATAATTTACACGGGACAAGTACAGCTATCTAAATACGGCACAGAAGAATTAGCCATGCATAAACTGATCGTATTGCTCTCTTTTTTAATAATAGAATAAAATATCGTGGCCTTTGCTCAAACAAGCTACAACCAATTATTACGTAGCTCACACAATAGCAAACTCACACAGTGAGTCCGGAAATCACAGTATGAAATTTTTAAACAAGCATAAACTAATACACCACCAACACAAGATAAAGATCCCACAACTATTGAATCCTATTTGAGAACCTCCATCCGAAGTTGGCAAAGAGCTGCATAATCGTTGACTCAAGTTTACGACATGTATCATTAATTAGTTTGATATCTTCTTCACACCTCTATAATTGCCCAATACTGAAGCCAATACGTTGCCCTGAAAAGTACCTGCAAATAAGATTTTTATGGTAATTTATCAAAGCCCATCTTATTCCTACTAAGTCAGAGAGCCCAACATAAAACGGATGCTCCAACAAAAATAAGATTCTTAATTTTTTTTATCAACACCAAAAAGGTGTTCGGGAGTGAGCTTTGGAAACCACACTCCCTAGCACACAAAACAAATCAGCATTTATCTCATAATTAATCAAGTATTAGCTAAAATAAATTTGAAAAATGGATTAATATGATTTTTTAAAGTAACTTTCGTATATAATTTTTTTTTGCAAATAAAACACTGTTTAGCAGTTCGAAAAGCGTGCACGCGGAAAATGAGAGAGATGAGTTGGGAAGATGGAGATAAGAACTCAGCCCAAGCCAATTCCTGAACATATGAGACATCCTTTGTGGAGGATATAAACCAAAGGAAATGTGTACAGATCTCCAAATAAATCTTAAAAAATGACAATCTTTTTTGTAAAAAACATCTTAAGCCATTTATATTTGATTCTAATTCGGATTTTTAGGGCGTTCAGTGAAAAATGTTGGACTACTTATAATCGAAGCCATCCCTAGAGCCACTGTGCATTATGCAGATAAACAAATTTCAGACATGTTATCTTATCCTATGTGGCACTTTAAGGCCGCTCATATGAGGCTCTTATACTGTGAATGGTCTAAGAAAGATGATAGAACTACAGTTTTTTGGTTTATAAAAAAAGAGAAAGTGATGGATACACTCAGGCTGAATTTTTTTTAAAAAAAAATAAATACAGGGAACGGGTAAGGAACAAAGTAATTTCATTTTTTTATGAAGTAACTAAAATACATGTTAATTGTTAGGGCTATTATATAAAACATATAATTTAAAGTCATAAAACGATGGAATAACAATAACCAAATCGATCATCATCAACCACATATATTTGACATTGTCCTCTGTTTTGTTTTATCTGATATGTAATTTAAATATATACAAACATAATGCAGACAAATAAACAATAAATAATACGTGCCTTACTGTGTAATATGGTTTATACAGGTTACATGGATAGGGCGCCAACAGCGCACAGGCTTTCTAGTCTCTTAAGGCCTTTCACAGTGCTCCTAGGTGGAGTGTTGCCTTATTGTGCCAGCTAGGAATTTCGCCGACATGTCGCGTAGCACCGCGTCCTTGTTGAGCCGCTCGCTCCCAAGCAAGGAAACGCGATTCCTCGCTCGCGCGAGGTAGAGGGAACGCCTGGAGCTCGCGCTGTGGAGGGCATGCCTCCAACTCACCGTCCCCTCGCGCCCTCTCCAGCGTCGACCTCGTTGCCGTCTCCCGCTCCGTGCCGCCGACCTCGATGTCGCCGGGGAGCTCGTCGCCGCGCCGCTTCGATCCGTGCCGCCGCCACCATCCTCGTCGGAGAAGCTCGCCGGCTCGATGGGGAAAGCGCGGAGAAGGAGAGGAGCTCGAGGTCAATGCCGCGTCCAACCTCGCCGCCGTCGCCTTGATCCAGTGGGCCTAGGCCAGATCTGGCCGCTCAGCCCGGCGTCGTAGCCGTCGCCGCTCGGACCGCCGCTTCGCCCGGCTTTGAGAGGAAGACGAGGTCGCGTGGCTCCGGTCGACGACGACCGCCGTGAGGACGGCCGTGCCGCCGCTCGTCGTCCGCGAGGAAGACGAGGTCACGCGGCGACCTCCGCGAGGAAGACCCCACCGAGAGCCCGTCGCTGCGGAGCGGGGTAGGGGGAGGGAGGCGCCAGCGTCTGTGGCCTCTGGACCCGACGATGAGAGGCGCCGCCGCGCCGAAGTCCATGCCTTCTTGCCCGCCGTCCTCGCCCCGGGGCTTCCCGTCCGCCGCGTCCCTAGCGTCGTTCGGTGCCACCGCCACCCTCGCCGGCTGTTGACGTAAAACACGAGGCCTGGGAGATCTGCTTAACTCCAGTGCAGGTCCAAAGCTCGCCTTCAGGTGTGTTAGCGTGCCAGTTGATTTGATCCTGCAATCAACAAGAAATAGAAACAGAGAGATCGCGGTTAAATCTATAAATGATAGCCAATCGGCTAAGTGCCGATAACATATCATTTATCTTTGAGCCGATGTCATATGTGAATCGATCGGAGACTATAAATAGATAATAAAGAACTAAATCTACTCGATCGGTTGTAGATATTACCAATATATAGTTCTTATATCGATATATATTTAAATCAAGTGATTGGGATAGATCGGTCGCCATGCCGAGACAGTATAAATCACTTGGATCGAAATATATATTAATAACAGGACTATATATGTTTATAACATAGCCGATCATATAGATCTAGCATGTATAGGCTAATACTCCGATACTACTCTATATCAGGATATTAAAATAAGTATAATATATCAAACAAAAGCTTAATATACTTAAATGCAATAAGATCTTGACATAAAGGGCGGATTTAACATGTCACTGAAGCATATAGAGCAAATATGGTTAAATCAGATAATATCGGCTGAAACTCCGATACTACCCTAATCGGCAACCAGAAGGCATGCTAGAGATTGATATTCTAAGCACGACTTAATAGATCAAACTCAACTGATGCAGCATTAAGTATGAAAAGAAGAACAATATCTAGACAATCAAGCCGCTGGAAGTTTCATAGAGTGGTAGATATCTTATATAATCTAAATCAACATCAAAATCTAACCTAATCGGCTATCCTCTACTAACAGATGTTAGCCGATTGTAGGTTAGGTAGCGATATTTGCAGAGATTATGTACGATATATGATAACTCAACGAATTACGTAAACAAGATTAGAGTATCATGAAGATGGAAGCACTAATCCCGAGAACACAAGTCGTCGTAACAAGTTTTACCTCTTGTTGAAGATCGAAACCGATGCAGCTCAACCCGAAAGCAAGAACTCGTCGAAATAAAATTAAAGCAAAAAGGTGGCGATGCGCCGAAATTGTATTGAACGTGTGTTTTCCTTTTTTTTACATAGGGCTCGGGATCTATTTTTACCCGAGAATTACAAGATATGTCCATACTGGACACGACTATTATCTCTAACAAACTCTAAGATACCATAAGTCTTTGCGGCAGACTTTTGCCCTAAGCATATCACTAAGGAAATTATATAAAACATCCTAATTAATAGATACAATTGCCTTTTCAGGACTCTATCCACGTGGGACAATCATCTTGAAGCATATCAACTCAAACCCAATGTTGGATACGAGTCATATTGCCGGAATCGGCTGTATCACCTAATCCAGTCTGATTCAGATTTAGCCGATTCTAGTCGTAGCCGATCTGGACTCCAGCCGATTCTTACACTGTTCCCGCAACAATCCTTATCTCTGATTCCGCTTCGATCCCATCTTCACCTCCGATGCTAATATTACCAAATTTGGTCGTTAACATCGGCTTCTTCCGCGAGGGAGGAGGGGAGAGCCGGCACCGCTCGGCCCCGAGGACGCCGCCGCCGCAGGACCCGCTACCTCGCCATGCGTGCAGCCATCCCGCCGTCGAGGTCACCGCCGTCCGGCCCCGACAAGGAGAGGAGGGGGCGGGCGGTTTGCCGTCGTACGCCGCCGTGGAGCCGAGTGAGGGAGAGCCTCGTCGTTGTCCACACGCTCCGCTCCGCGTCACCGACCTCGGTGTCGCCGGGGAGCTCATTGCCACGCCACTTCGGTCTGCGCCGCCGCCACTGTCCTTGTCGGAGAAGCTCACCGGCTCGATGGGAAAGCGCGGAGAAGGAGAGGAGCTTGCATGAGGTTGAGGCCGCGTCCGAGCTCGCCGGCGTCTGTGCCTTCTTGCCCGCCGTCCTCGCCCTTGCCACTTGCCGTCCTGGTCAGTGGCATGCGAGAAGAATGGATAGATATAGAGAGGGAGAGATGAATGTGAAAAGAGAGATGGTGGGACCTACTAATATGGGTGGGACCCACAAACATGTATTGTTTAAGACACATGCACTGTGAAGTGTGGTTCTTTATCCGGTTCTTTGTCTAGCTGGAGGCTTTGAGCTCCTCATGTGTGTTACCCGCACTGCTACTGGCCTTATACCGAATTCAGGGCGTGTTCTCGAGCGTTAGCGACGCCACGTGGCTCAGCCCGATTGCAAGGTTCGCTCCCTCGCTCGCAGCCGTCGGATCGCGTATCCATGGTCAGAAATCGATGCGGTGGAGCTAATTGTAATATAGGAAGTTTAAGGGGGCTTTTTCCAAAACGGTGAATACCTCTTCGCCTGTTCGGTCTTGCGCTTGTTTCCGTCTAAGGACAGAGGAACTCCCTCTTCCTTCTCCTCGGTCGCGTTGTCGCCACTTACCTCCACCAATTCCGCCCTGATCCCCTCCGAACGTGCTCATCCGCGGGCTCTCGACGAACACCTCCGGCCGCGACCCAGTCGGACTCGGAGGAGGCCGCCAGATTTTTCTACTCCCTCCC